AGGGTTGGTGTCATCGAAGCGCATGATGAGCTTGCCTTTAAATGTGACCTGGTAGTGCTGGTTGAGCAGGGCAGCCTTGGCATGTCCGATGTGCAGGTATCTGTCCAAGGGAGGCAGAGAAAAAGTTAGGGAAGCTAGTAAATTAACAAACGTTTCTTCTAAACTCCAGATTCAAGTCGTACCCGCTGGCCTCAGGAGGGAACCGAACCACCACCTTGCCCATCTCAGCTCCTGGCAATTCCACAAACTTCCCAACATCTGCCTTTTTCCCTTCCGACTGTGAAAATGACACAATCAGTCAAGAATGGAATTAAAAGGTGCATTTATATCTTAATCTAGACATGGTACACAAACATAATAATCAAGCATTAAACATTCAAATATCAAAGTTTAATGTACCAGTTTAGTTTAAAGAGATAAAAACAACATGTTTGGTGGCTTTATAAACATTAACATCTATTCTTTTTTCTTTGCATCTTCAGGTTAAGGATTCGGGTCATGCTCACCCAGTTTTACGATCATAGTTTGCCACAATGAACACTGACAAAATAACACTTACTTTGGTTTTGTTCATTGAAGCCTTCTTACTGGCGTACTTGTTGCCCACAGCAGTGAAAGGAACTTGTGAGCTCAGGAAGAAGAACCAGCGGCTGACGTGGGAAAAGGATTTGCCCTGCTTTGGCCATTCCCCATGATCTGTGGATAAAGAGTCACAATCTGTAGTGCTGATTTTAAAATGTTTAGTTACATATATTTCACACTGAAATCAGACAGAAAAAAAAGCTGTTAAATCCTGGATGTTACTGACCTTTGAGAGCAGCCCAGACAGACAGGTCAGCCAGGGTGAGGGCATGCCCAACCAGGAAGGTCCGCAGTGAGAGAGCCTTGTCCAGTTCAGCCAGTGCCACAGTCAAATCTGGCTGATTACACAGACTGCGAGCACTAAACTCCAGCCAGTGGTCAACCTGAAGACATCATGAAGAAAAAATTAAACGAGCATTCAGAACAATTGCAAAACATCACAGATATGCACAAACATACACACCTCAGTCTGCTCCATCATGTTGGATCCATACAGGCCAAGAGCAGGAGCAACCCGAGCCAAGTAGCGACAGATCGAGTTGTCATCGCTGAACTGGACTGAACTGAGAGAAGGAAAATGAGAAGAGATAGTTGAGATAAACGAATGTAAACTCCACATCTCTTATTTTGTACAGCATGTAAATTAAACTCGACCTGCAGCTCGATAACTGCGGCACCTACTCTGAGATGTGAAGCCGCGTGTCTTTGCCTTCCTCCACTGATACCTGCACACTGCTCTTCACATGTTCAGCTGTCAGAAGTGCCCCTGCAAGACAGACAAGACAACACAGTGTTTTTTTAGTGTTTTTACTCTCACACTCCAAAGCACAGCTCCAGAAAACAGTCAGATTTGATCACTGCATACCTGCACACTCAAACAGATATGAAATCTGACAACCAGGTGAACTGGTCCAGTGACACGAAGCACGCAAACTGCAATCTTTCCCGTAACTCTGCACAACACCCACCTTAAGTTCAGTCTGCTTCAAAGGCTTTTTGTACTGAATCCATATTCAACTCCAGACCTTTTATCTGCTTATTTGTTTTCAAACAAAACAAACCGAACAATGGCATAAGCTCACATACAGACAAAATTACACTATGAGTTGTGTTACAGGTCTCACAATTTCACAGTAATATTGTAACAGTATACCACAGTTAATCTAGGAGGCCAATAAAAATTCATTTTTATTTCTGAGCTCATAACAAGTCTTGGTAAAGAACTCAAATAGATAACCCCCAAAATTCTGTAATCTGCTACGCTGAACAAGCCCATGAGACAGAGTTGCTGAACATTTCATACACAGAGGTGACGTTCCTTTGAGTAACTGATGTAATCTTTTGACGAGCATGCCAAACATTCATAGAGCTACCGTGAATACTTTCTAAAGATTTTTACCACACTTCACTAGTGACCGCAGCATACAATTCCTATTGCCAGTTTGACCGGAGTGATTCAGAAAACGGACCCTTGCTGTTTCGTAGAATATTGTAAAGTCATGGTTCCCCTGGAAAATGGCTTAACATTCATAGAAAATCTAAAGCTGTGTGGTGGGTGTCTGCTCATACAGTGGAACACAACTCCTTAAAATGATGTAAGTTGTAAAGACCAAAAAAAGAGCAGGGTTTAGAGCTTAATTGTCTGCTGTAATTGCAGTAAAATATAAATATAATAAATCTAAATAATATAAATATAAATGACATCCAAACAAATAGTACCCCCTTTCCTCCAGATTTTAGATAAGGCAACAGAGTCCAACTTCTTGAAGTACAAATAAGTGATACTTACTGTGTACTTATCTTTGTCATAGAATAATGAAAGAGCAGACCTCACCTGGCCATGAAAAGTGCTAATTTTGAGCATCTGAAATGAAGGACTATGTATAAAAACAGCGATAAACCCAAACCAGTGCTTTTGTTACACCTCCTGAACTAAAGCTGAAAGTCTGAACTTCAATCAAAATCTTGATTTTTTGATGTACAGAGGCAAAGCTGTAAAGAAAGTATCTAAACACCTACAGATTTTATTGTAAGGTTTATATAGTCATATATTGGCCCGTCTACTGCTGGTGTATTTAAATATGCATGTATGTACAGCTGTAACTGTATGTTTACAGGTGCATTCCGGCATATCCCCATTATAAAGGAAAACTTCTCTCTGAATTTGTTGTGACTCACATACATTCCAAGCACCTGCATTTCTAAGAAACCGAAAGAACACAGTGCAGGAGTAATCATCCCCATCCAGTTCTACTACGTTTCAGGAGGCTTGCATCAGCCTGCTGTGCTCAGTAAAAAAAATAGCTACACAGGGGCGCTGTTCAGCAATTATGAACGCTATTCATTTCATTAGCTTGCTTTTGGAAATAACTTCACCAAAATAATCCCTATAAATTATTTTCCACAGTTGATTAAACGTGTCAGAGTGGACTGCCACAATGCATTCAGTTTCAGCAGCTTATAAAAACCGAAAGCTGCCCAGCTGAGCTAACCGGCCGGTCTTTAGCTAATGTCAACGTGTCAACCAACGTGTTTAATTTCCAAGTTCAAAAAGACTTTTTCTGTGTAATGTACTTATGATGTGTAGATGTCACAGTATAAGCAGGTGGATAAGGCGTAAGAACCGCTGTTTTGAACAAAAAGAACATTTCGTGAACTGTTCACGTGTTGTGCTTTTGGTTTCAGAAGTGCCTACTGGCTAGCTAGCCTTAGCTAGTATTTGTATGCATCTACAGATCACCAATCTCCATTGATTTATGGATGAAGTCACACTCTTAACTTCATATTTTATTTGAAACAAGAGCTGCTACTCATTTCACGATATTTTAACACTTTACATCATCTGCTATTAAATTCGGGTCGTGTACAATGATCAAATATAAGTCGTTTTAATTACAAAATAAAACTCCAACTGATTTTTTTTTTTTTTTGACATCTTCATGTCTCTCTTAACAAGATTCATCACAACGACTGATTTTTGATATTATAATCATATATTTTCCAGTTTAGTATGACACACAGGTGTAAGAAAGCTGATGTCACTCGCAACCTTGCATGCACACACACGGCTAATTGCAGAAAGTCACGTTATTTGGGGATCTCAGGCTGTAACTCACCGAGAGGAGGATTGCTTGTGTTGATGGTGAGATTTAACGCCATACTGCAAAATCCGGCTTCCACACAGGTGGTTACGAGACCCAGCTGAAGTTAACTGGCATGTACAAGAGGTCCACAGCACAGCAAACACTACTCCAGACACAGGAGAGAGAACGAGCCGAGTCGTTCTTCTTCTTCTTCGCCTTCCTTTGCGATTTACGGCAGCTGACATCCCTTTGAGTTACACTACTGCCCTCTTCTGGTTGCAATGGTCAATCGTCTGTTATGCGATCTATGCAGTTGTTCAAATCAAATTATTTCACATAATTCCATTTTTACCAACTTAGATTAGTTAAGATCTATGGGACCGGTTTTCAATGTTTAGCAAAAGAAAAATCACGTGACTCATTATTTCAACATAAGTTTCTGTGTTTCTTCATTTTGGGTTTTTCATTTTCCATGAAGAACCCATCAAACAACACAGTTTGGGGTGGTTCAGGAGATAGAATGAGTTGTCTACTACTTGGATGATTAATTTAATTCCTTTAATATTGATTAATTTGATTCCTGATTTGATGTCTGTTATATTGCAGGCCCTGTCATGATGAGTTAATTAAATTAGTTGTTTGAGTTGTAAAACTTAAAAAGACTATGAAGATTTACCAAGAGTCAAAAGTCGCACCTTTACAGTTTGTATCTTATCAACCCTTTTGCAATTCTCTTGGCTTTCATTAATAACTATGAGGTCAAGAAGATGAAGCAAATTGGTATTTTTGCAGGAAATATGACCCATAAAATTATTTTAATGTTATATTGATGTTAATATGTATAATAGTTTCTGTTCAATACAATGTTTTTCTTTTTCATCTTTCAGCTCTAGGCCTGTGTAGGGTCTGTCTTTTCTAACATGCCGACTAACGATGTTGTCAAAGAATAATTACAATACTTAAACAGTGCTTCAAGATTGCATTAACTGGCTAATCCTTGATCATTTAGCTTTAACTTTATATCTCACTGAAATATTAGTGTATTTCTGTTATGTTTTATCTGCACTTAATAGGCATATAATAGGCATAAGTGACTTTTGGATTTCTGGATAGCAGTAACAGTAATTCTGCCACCTCAAACAAAACAGAACCATCTATACACAGTCACAGGTGAGAAACGTATTCAGACAGGTTTTTATTGTTAACTAAGAAAAATTAATGAACCTCATACAATCTTTGGTGCCTACAACATGCATTACCTGTAACTCTTTCGCATCTGGATCCGGTGTAGTTATAGCGGAACTAAATGACAGAGCGCAAGTTTCCACACGGACTCGCACTGCTTGTGATTCTCCTGCACCGTGGTTTCTCTTTATGGATGTTTTGTGTAAAGTTTGGTAGCGGTGGATTGATAAGAATCTGTTCTTCCAGCAGAAACAACCCGCGCCACTGCGCATTGATCTGATCCGGTAAAACAAAGAGTGCATTCGTTCAGTACAGCAGTGCCGCTTTCAGCCACAGTCTGCACACCTCTGCACTGTTGATTCATAAATGCCGTCTTGCTTTCTCTGCTGTGTGAATTTA